AGAGAGAGAGAGAGAGAGAGAGAGAGAGAGAGAGAGAGAGAGAGAGAGAGAAAGAAAGAGACAGAGGGGGGGGAAGGGATGGATGAATCATCTTTGTGATTGAGGTGGTAGTCATCATCTTTGTGATTGAGGTGGTCGTCTAAGTTTCAATTCGTGTCTCAGTCATTTTCTGTGACCTGTGTGTACACATTGTTATGACGTATTTTGGCGTATACCGAAGTGGGTGGTTGGCCGGCGTTCTGGTGTGGTTTGCTTCTTGTTTTCCTGTCAAACATCGATCATCATTATCCCTACTCCTGTTTTTCTTTGTATCTTACTCTCTTCTGAGGCACGAAGTGATCTAGATCTAATTCAGTTGCGAATGTCGGAAAACTATCACTTAAAAAACCCACACACAACTAAAAACAAGGAAAAGGATCACTGTATCTAGATCTAGATCAAAACGAGAATCTCAGTAATAGTGGGCGTTTGTACGCAGGACGTCACTCAAAAATGTCAAAAGAAGAAAAAAAAGTGAAGAGAGGAATCATCATTGAGGTGGATGTCTGAACTTTCCATTCACGTCTCGGTTGTTATCTGTGACCTGTGTGTGCGTACCGGAGTAGGAGATTGGCCGGCGCTCTTGTGTGGTTTGCTCCTTCTTTCCTGTCGAACATCTATCGTCATTATCCCTCCTCCTTCATTTCGTTGTAATTTGTATCTTACTCTCTTCATCGGCACTGAATTGGTCTAATTGTTTTTTGCGAGTGTCGTAAAACTCTCACTAAAAACGAGACTAAGACTATGGAAACCTAGATCAAGACGAGAATCACAGTAATAGTAATAGTGGGCGTTTGTACACAGGATGTCACCAAAAAAGTTCATAAGACACCCCCCCCCCCAAAAAAAAAAAAAAAAAAAAAAGCTGAGAGAGAAAGGATGAATCAACATTGATGTAGCCGTCTAAAGGTCCCATTCATGTCCCAGTCATTATCCTGTGACCCTGTGTGTGCACATGTCTTTTGGCGCCCACCGAGCTATGCGTCATACATTTGCATTTCTCCCCAATGATCGTGCGCTGGCCGAGGTTTTGAGATCCGCTTGCGCAGGCAGAGAGTATAAAAATCTAACACGTGTCTTGTGTACATTGTACATTGTATGTACGTACAGTGTCTATCTACCCTTCCTTTTGGACAGCGAGAATTGCGCCATTTTTTTAAAGACTGTTGGTATCGATTCTTATATAGCGTATAAGACGAGTACTGTGTAATAAAGATTTTTGGTTTGCATCAATAATAATAATAATGATAATAATAATAATAATAATAATAATAATAATAATAATAATAATAATAATAATAATACCACTTCCGTTCACCAAGTATCGAGAGGCTGTTTGTTTTGAGATTTTTATTTGGTCTTATTTTTTCGATCTATAAATTATGTTAAAGCGTCATAGGAACAGTCTTGGTACTTGCCTGCCCCTCCCCCCTCCACCAAGTAAGTTTGTATAGTCATGAGGTTCTTCACGCGAATTAAATTAATCAATTTGATCACACCGCCGTCGTCATCGATACCACTATTGAAATCCGGCACTAATTTCTGCTCCCCTTAGTTTCGTGTTCTTCTCTACTTACTTATTTTACGTTATCCTTCCTCTTGTAGCATTCAGGGCATCGAGGGGAGAAAAAGCTTTCTGTCTCTAGCAAGTTGGATGGCCTGGCTGGGCGGGATGCTATGGGTCTTCAGGGTCTTCACACCCTTGATCCAGGTCTTCCTTGGTCTTCCTCTTGCCGTATGCCCTGATATTCTTTTGTTGTGCGCATTACTGGCAAGCTGGTGGGGTGCCATATGTGTCAGATGTCCAAACCACCAGATGGTTTGCCTCTGAATGTAGTGGAGGAAAAGTCTTGTTCCCACCATTTCTCTGATTCTGGTGTTTCTGATCACATCCTATCTGGCTCTGTTGACGGCTCTCCTTAGACATCTCATCTCGCAAGTGGTTATCTTGCCTTCCAGACTTGTGGTCAAATTCGGTGTCTGGCATTGGTAGGTCAAGGTGGGAATAACGATAGAGTCAGTGAGCTTGGCTTTCGTCTCAATGGGGATGTTAAGATATTTAAGGAGTGGAGCAAGCTGGTAGCTGATGCTGATAGTCTTCTGTACTTTCGTCTCAGTTTATCTGATGAGGCGCCCGTTTTCCGAGAAGATACTGCCAAGATACTTGAGTTCGCTGAACTTGTTTCAGCTTAGTTCCGTCGATGCTGATGTTTATGTTGTCAGGTGTTCTGCTGACCTTCATCGTCTTGTTCTTCTCAGGGATAGCAAAGACATAGATCTAGGACCTACCTGTGGCGTCCTCCTCCAACCACCCGTCAACCATCTCCATGAGTCAACCGAATCTGAGCGATAGGAGGGTAATTTGATGGCACCATCGTTAGGTCCTACTTCTTTACTTGCCTTTTCCCATCACAGAGTGGCTGTTTGGCGGTTCTCGTGGTCTAGATGTACGGTGTGCGTCTCTCATTCATTGGGTCCCGGGTTCGAAACCTGACAACTTCGTAAAATTTTCTTGTCTATAAAATATTTTTCAGTCACCTTTTCTGCTTTCTCATCGTACGTCGTCTGCGTTCGTCTCTGCTCCCCCTCCCCTTTTGCCCCTTCCTCTATGCTTTTGCCTTTTTCTTCTGCCTTTCTACTGCTACTCCTTGGCTCCTTCTTACCGCTGTCTTTCAGCCACACCCCTGGTCTTGGGGTAGGTAAGATATGACACATAGCCTAGGCGATCATATGACCGTCTAGCACATAGCCCTCTGGTATAAAGGGAAAAAATCTCGGAGGTCACGTGTGCAAGTTGCGCACGACGTTAAAGATCCCTTGCTGGTGTTAAAATAAATACGAGTAGGCGTTTTTGGCTGCAACCCCGGAAAATTCAAAATTACTTCCTACCGAACTGAAAATGCTTAATGCATCCCGCGCGCTCATATGATCTTATGCGGTTGTGAGCACCGTATAACACTTTTAAAAAGAGTGACAATTGTTATGTCGATCTGCGTTGTGAGTAAGGAGATGGTTGAAGAGCGCTTCTGGCATGTCCTCCTCTGATCTTCACTGTAGTCCTCTTTCGTTTATGTCTGTCTCGCTTTCCTGCTTTTATTTTTCAAGTAGTAGATGGCTGTCATATTGGTGTGCTTTTCTTGAAGTTGAACGAAGAAGTGGGGTTTTTTTTTGGAGGTGGTCTTCCGTGAAGCATATGGTGGCTCAAGCTGTCAGCCTCTTCAGCTCTGATGTCACGATCCGTTAAGTCCTGAAACTCTACCCTTACCTCTACCCCTGTACTAACTCGTTGCAGTGAAACCGACTGCTGCAACCAATACCTTTTATCTTGATATCCGTTTGGAAGATAGTATTTGACTTTGTTTTATTGTCTGAAAAGAACGTGAGGGGAGTACGCACACAAACGACAGAGTGGTGACAGAAAATAAAACCTTATTTTAGTTTATATGACCTTGTACCGAGACGAGCGTATTGTAGGTACTACGTTCGCCTAGCCATATATGGTTGCGAGCGCTTTCATAAACTGGACCTTCTCTTACTTTGAAAGTCTCCTTACTTTACGGCCATTTCTCGCTAATTTTGCCCCTGTAACCAAGGATTCGCTCCTCCTTCAATTGCAAATATTTCCTTGACATCTTTTACAGATGGGTATTTTTTTCCCAACGAAAGCAGTACAAATGAACAAGCTCAGCAACTCCACATGCCCAAAACACCGACGAGCGCCTGATTCTACCGCGTCGTGACACATAATTTATGTATAGCTTTATCCAAATACAACAACAAACACCATGAATGTGTATGATGTGTTGTTTTTTTAGTCGGGTCCTATCTTTGGAGAAGCTTTCCCTACAAACTTCCTTTCACTGGAGTGGCGGGCCGGAAATAAGGAGTGGGATGGATGGATGGAAGATGGACGAGTGGGTGGGTGGGTGTCTAGGCCTCGTGTTAGGCCTGGTACTGAGAAGGCCTAGGTGGGTGTTCATCAAGGACCTTACAACAAACTATACCCTCCTTGGTGGGTGTTCATCAAGTCGGTCCGCTTGGATGTGTGGTGGGCAAGGTAGTTTTTAAAACTCCTTAGGCCTAGTGGTGGGCTAACATGACCGCCTAGGTGGTGGGTGTTGGTCGGTTTGGCGCGGTGGTTGTAACGAGTCCTGGTCTCTGGTAGGCTGGCGGCCTACACACCCCCGTGGCCGGCTGTAAGCGGCCGTGTCTGACTGACTTGACAACGCGCCGTGTGCCGCCGCTGCCGCGAAGCCTTTCGCTTGTTTGTGTCGCGCGAAACTGCGTCAAACGCATGCAAAGTGGAGTGCGAGCGAGCCTTTTCTGTAGAAGTGTTGTTGTCGGTGGTTTTTAGCCTTGGCGTTCAGTCGTTCGACGTTGTTCACTCACGCTCAGTGCTCAGTCTACTTTGGACCACGGTCGTGTGTACTTCCTCTGTGCCTTCTTGTTCACTTTTTTGGCTCAAGCTAAAGCTGTGTCGGTGAGTGCCAACCTCTTTTGTTGTTTGTTAATCAATGCTGCATTTTTCATGACAAATGCTGGTTTAAACAATGTAATGTATTTTTCCATCATCTTTTTATGAGTGGAGGAAAAACAAACTGTTTAAAGTTGCCAACTTCTCGACGAAGCCACATGTTTTACTAGATCTAGATCTAGATCTAGATCTAGATCTAGATCTAGATTAGTTAACTAATTTAGGAATTAGGAATGGCATCCGCCCCTTCTGAGTGAAGTTGTGATCTGTACTGTCTTTGGTGTAAAAGTTTCCCTTAAGTTGTTGGAAGGTTCTTTGAGAATTTGTCATAAAGTTTTTAGTGAATTGCCGAGTAGATCCCCAACTTACTTGTTTTTGTTGGGGTAACTTTTTGTGTGGAAAAACTTTATCGTTTATTCACATTCCTTTTAGTTATATGGTGAGCTGTACCAACTCTGTCAGATTCTCACGTGTCAACACCTTAATAGTTTTTTTCCTTCTCGCTCTCACTACTTCACTCGTTCTGCCTTTCAGACTGTCAGTTGCTCGGTCTCTCGCTTACTCACTCTTTCACTTGCTCACCCACCCCGTGTCCTTTCACCGTCTTTCTTCATTCTCTCCTTATAAGTTTAATATCACTCAGCTGGGCTACTGTCACCTTTTCCCATTTTCGCCTTCTCACGCTCAGTTTTCTCTCTCAACGTATCACAATATAACATGGGCATTTTGTTTATATAAAGCCACTTTAAATGGAGATTCGACGAGGAAATTTTTCCTTCTTTCAGTTTGCATTTTTGTCTTGGCTCAAATGAGTTAAATGCATACTAAGACCGTGGGTTTTTGTTTTTTTACTTTCTTCATTTTCGTTCTTCTCTGTTTTGACTCAAATGACCATGGCTAAAAGCATTTTCCCAACTTGAGATCTAGAATCTAGATCTAGATCTAGATCTAGACGTTTTCTGTTTGGCCCAACTTTGCTGGACACGGCTCAGGAGGGACTTGCGTAACGACCGACCACTCCAAGAAACACAATAAAGAAGAGAACCCTAAATCTTGACCTAACCCTTACCCTACCCCAAACCTCAACCTATACCCTGCCCCTACCCCTACCCCCAACCCTATCTCCTAATAGGGCCCTTCTCCTCTGTTCTACTCTGTGTCATAGTGGTCCCCATTTACGGAAGTCCTCCCCACGGCTCAGCTGGCGTACGGTCATGAGTGACCTGCCTACAAAATCCCCTCTCAACTAACGTTTAGTGCTGTAAGGACAACGGGTTTTTTAAAGGAAAACAACAACAACAACTGTGATCTAATTTCACATTCCCTTCTTGCGTAGAGGACCCCAAAATATGCTAATTCAGTCGTAGCTTACGTCCTTGATACCGGAAATACCAGGAGAGAATTGTAGCAGACACTGCTGGTACAGTATACATTTGTATAAATTATATAGACCTATACTATAATACGCTCAGAACTAGAGGCTCAGAAAGAGTATGCGAACGTACAGGCTCAGGCTCTTCATCATGCTAAATAGCAAACAGCGAGGATTTTCGGGCTAGGGTTGGGTCTGTGGATGGGGGCCAAGGACTCTAGGTATCACGTTACACCCTAGAACGTATAGATTACACTCCTTGCGTGAACGACCGACGCACTGGACCCTGGTAAACAGCGCCAGTGCTCATAGTAAGTAGGCTATTATAGAGCCAGCGGCAATCAGATATTTTGTTATCCTCTCTGTACTTTATATCCCCTCCCCTATCTCTCTATTCCTCTTGTGGGTGGTTGGCGGGTGCTCTGGTGTGGTTTGCTCCTTCTTTCCTATCAAACATCTATCGTCCTTATCTTCCCCTCCTTCTTTTTTTATGTTTGTTACTCTATTGTTACACCTCTAATCTTCTGGCGCTCATATGACCTTATGCAGTTGCGAGTGCCATGAAATCACTACTAAACCTAAACTAAACTATCCCTCTTGTGTCTATGTTTCGTTCCGTTTGTGTACCTACATGATGTATTTGACTAATGTGTCTTTTGTAGCCATTCATGGATGGTTGGAGGGCGTCTGTGGTATGGGCTATTTTCTTCTCCCCTCCCCCCTCTCTCTGTCTCTCTCTGTCTCTCTCTGTCTCTCTCTGTCTCTCTCTGTCTCTCTCTCTCTCTGTCTCTCTCTCTCTCCCCCCCCACCCCCTTACCAAAGTATGCTCCTTCTTCTCATCTTCTCTCTGTCTCTGTCTCTCTCTCTCTGTCTCCCTGTCTCTCTCTCTGTCTCGCTGTCTCTCTCTCT